ATTCACTCTCTCAATGTTTTAGTCATTTGGGGATGTTTCTGTAGTCTCTGTAATATTTATTCACTTTCTCAATGTTTTAGTCATTTGGGGATGTTTCTGTAGATAGTCTCTGTAATATTTATTCACTCTCTCAATGTTTTAGTCATTTGAGGATGTTTCTGTAGATAGTCTCTGTAATATTTATTCACTTTCTCAATGTTTTAGTCATTTGGGGATGTTTCTGTAGATAGTCTCTGTAATATTTATTCACTGTTTCAATGTTTTAGTCATTGGGGATGTTTCTGTAGATAGTCTCTGTAATATTTATTCACTTTCTCAATGTTTTAGTCGTTTGGGGATGTTTCTGTAGATAGTCTCTGTAATATTTATTCACTTTCTCCCTGTTTTAGTCATTTGGGGATGTTTCTGTAGTCTCTGTAATATTTATTCACTGTCTCAATGTTTTAGTCATTTGGGGATGTTTCTGTAGATAGTCTCTGTAATACTTATTCACCCTCTCAATGTTTTAGTCATTTGGGGATGTTTCTGTAGATAGTCTCTGTAATATTTATTCACTTTCTCAATGTTTTAGTCATTTGGGGATGTTTCTGTAGATAGTCTCTGTAATATTTATTCACTTTCTCAATGTTTTAGTCGTTTGGGGATGTTTCTGTAGATAGTCTCTGTAATATTTATTCACTTTCTCCCTGTTTTAGTCATTTGGGGATGTTTCTGTAGTCTCTGTAATATTTATTCACTGTCTCAATGTTTTAGTCATTTGGGGATGTTTCTGTAGATAGTCTCTGTAATATTTATTCACTTTCTCAATGTTTTAGTCATTTGAGGATGTTTCTGTAGATAGTCTCTGTAATGTTTATTCACTTTCTCCCTGTTTTAGTCATTTGGGGATGTTTCTGTAGATAGTCTCTGTAATATTTATTCACTTTCTCAATGTTTTAGTTATTTGAGGATGTTTCTGTAGATAGTCTCTGTAATATTTATTCACTTTCTCAATGTTTTAGTCATTTGGGGATGTTTCTGTAGATAGTCTCTGTGATATTTATTCACTTTCTCCCTGTTTTAGTCATTTGGGGATGTTTCTGTAGTCTCTGTAATATTTATTCACTGTCTCAATGTTTTAGTCATTAGGGGATGTTTCTGTAGATAGTCTCTGTAATATTTATTCACTTTCTCAATGTTTTAGTCATTTGAGGATGTTTCTGAAGATAGTCTCTGTAATATTTATTCACTTTCTCAATGTTTTAGTCATTTGGGGATGTTTCTGTAGTCTCTGTAATATTTATTCACTGTCTCAATGTTTTAGTCATTTGGGGATGTTTCTGTAGATAATCTCTGTAATATTTATTCACTCTCTCAATGTTTTAGTCATTTGAGGATGTTTCTGTAGATAGTCTCTGTAATATTTATTCACTTTCTCAATGTTTTAGTCATTTGGGGATGTTTCTGTAGATAGTCTCTGTAATATTTATTCACTGTCTCAATGTTTTAGTCATTTGGGGATGTTTCTGTAGTCTCTGTAATATTTATTCACTTTCTCAATGTTTTAGTCATTTGGGGATGTTTCTGTAGATAGTCTCTGTAATATTTATTCACTCTCTCAATGTTTTAGTCATTTGAGGATGTTTCTGTAGATAGTCTCTGTAATATTTATTCACTTTCTCCCTGTTTTAGTCATTTGGGGATGTTTCTGTAGATAGTCTCTGTAATATTTATTCACTCTCTCAATGTTTTAGTCATTTGGGGATGTTTCTGTAGTCTCTGTAATATTTATTCACTTTCTCAATGTTTTAGTCATTTGGGGATGTTTCTGTAGATAGTCTCTGTAATATTTATTCACTCTCTCAATGTTTTAGTCATTTGAGGATGTTTCTGTAGATAGTCTCTGTAATATTTATTCACTTTCTCAATGTTTTAGTCATTTGGGGATGTTTCTGTAGATAGTCTCTGTAATATTTATTCACTGTCTCAATGTTTTAGTCATTTGGGGATGTTTCTGTAGATAGTCTCTGTAATATTTATTCACTTTCTCAATGTTTTAGTCATTTGGGGATGTTTCTGTAGATAGTCTCTGTAATATTTATTCACTCTCTCAATGTTTTAGTCATTTGAGGATGTTTCTGTAGATAGTCTCTGTAATATTTATTCACTTTCTCAATGTTTTAGTCATTTGGGGATGTTTCTGTAGATAGTCTCTGTAATATTTATTCACTTTCTCAATGTTTTAGTCGTTTGGGGATGTTTCTGTAGATAGTCTCTGTAATATTTATTCACTTTCTCAATGCTTTAGTCATTTGGGGATGTTTCTGTAGATAGTCTCTGTAATATTTATTCACTGTCTCAATGTTTTAGTCATTTGGGGATGTTTCTGTAGATAGTCTCTGTAATATTTATTCACTCTCTCAGTGTTTTAGTCATTTGGGGATGTTTCTGTAGATAATCTCTGTAATATTTATTCACTCTCTCAATGTTTTAGTCATTTGAGGATGTTTCTGTAGATAGTCTCTGTAATATTTATTCACTCTCTCAATGTTTTAGTCATTTGGGGATGTTTCTGTAGTCTCTGTAATATTTATTCACTTTCTCAATGTTTTAGTCATTTGGGGATGTTTCTGTAGATAGTCTCTGTAATATTTATTCACTCTCTCAATGTTTTAGTCATTTGAGGATGTTTCTGTAGATAGTCTCTGTAATATTTATTCACTTTCTCAATGTTTTAGTCATTTGGGGATGTTTCTGTAGATAGTCTCTGTAATATTTATTCACTTTCTCAATGTTTTAGTTATTTGAGGATGTTTCTGTAGATAGTCTCTGTAATATTTATTCACTTTCTCAATGTTTTAGTCATTTGGGGATGTTTCTGTAGATAGTCTCTGTGATATTTATTCACTTTCTCCCTGTTTTAGTCATTTGGGGATGTTTCTGTAGTCTCTGTAATATTTATTCACTGTCTCAATGTTTTAGTCATTAGGGGATGTTTCTGTAGATAGTCTCTGTAATATTTATTCACTTTCTCAATGTTTTAGTCATTTGAGGATGTTTCTGAAGATAGTCTCTGTAATATTTATTCACTTTCTCAATGTTTTAGTCATTTGGGGATGTTTCTGTAGTCTCTGTAATATTTATTCACTGTCTCAATGTTTTAGTCATTTGGGGATGTTTCTGTAGATAATCTCTGTAATATTTATTCACTCTCTCAATGTTTTAGTCATTTGAGGATGTTTCTGTAGATAGTCTCTGTAATATTTATTCACTTTCTCAATGTTTTAGTCATTTGAGGATGTTTCTGTAGATAGTCTCTGTGATATTTATTCACTTTCTCAATGTTTTAGTCATTTGGGGATGTTTCTGTAGATAGTCTCTGTAATATTTATTCACTGTCTCAATGTTTTAGTCATTTGGGGATGTTTCTGTAGTCTCTGTAATATTTATTCACTTTCTCAATGTTTTAGTCATTTGGGGATGTTTCTGTAGATAGTCTCTGTAATATTTATTCACTCTCTCAATGTTTTAGTCATTTGAGGATGTTTCTGTAGATAGTCTCTGTAATATTTATTCACTTTCTCCCTGTTTTAGTCATTTGGGGATGTTTCTGTAGATAGTCTCTGTAATATTTATTCACTCTCTCAATGTTTTAGTCATTTGGGGATGTTTCTGTAGTCTCTGTAATATTTATTCACTTTCTCAATGTTTTAGTCATTTGGGGATGTTTCTGTAGATAGTCTCTGTAATATTTATTCACTCTCTCAATGTTTTAGTCATTTGAGGATGTTTCTGTAGATAGTCTCTGTAATATTTATTCACTTTCTCAATGTTTTAGTCATTTGGGGATGTTTCTGTAGATAGTCTCTGTAATATTTATTCACTGTCTCAATGTTTTAGTCATTTGGGGATGTTTCTGTAGATAGTCTCTGTAATATTTATTCACTTTCTCAATGTTTTAGTCATTTGGGGATGTTTCTGTAGATAGTCTCTGTAATATTTATTCACTCTCTCAATGTTTTAGTCATTTGAGGATGTTTCTGTAGATAGTCTCTGTAATATTTATTCACTTTCTCAATGTTTTAGTCATTTGGGGATGTTTCTGTAGATAGTCTCTGTAATATTTATTCACTTTCTCAATGTTTTAGTCGTTTGGGGATGTTTCTGTAGATAGTCTCTGTAATATTTATTCACTTTCTCAATGTTTTAGTCATTTGGGGATGTTTCTGTAGATAGTCTCTGTAATATTTATTCACTGTCTCAATGTTTTAGTCATTTGGGGATGTTTCTGTAGATAGTCTCTGTAATATTTATTCACTCTCTCAGTGTTTTAGTCATTTGGGGATGTTTCTGTAGATAGTCTCTGTAATATTTATTCACTCTCTCAATGTTTTAGTCATTTGGGGATGTTTCTGTAGATAGTCTCTGTAATATTTATTCACTCTCTCAATGTTTTAGTCATTTGGGGATGTTTCTGTAGTCTCTGTAATATTTATTCACTTTCTCAATGTTTTAGTCATTTGAGGATGTTTCTGTAGATAGTCTCTGTAATATTTATTCACTTTCTCAATGATTTAGTCATTTGGGGATGTTTCTGTAGATAGTCTCTGTAATATTTATTCACTCTCTCAATGTTTTAGTCATTTGGGGATGTTTCTGTAGATAGTCTCTGTAATATTTATTCACTTTCTCAATGATTTATTCATTTGGGGATGTTTCTGTTGATAATCTCTGTTATATTTATTCGCATCTATTTTTAGGTTCAGGCTATTAGGTTGACATATATAAACACCAATATTTTAATTAAAGATTGTAAAAGTACAATTCACTGTACGGACTTCAACAATGAGAAAAACCCATACTGCATAGAAAGCTATATGAATGTTGACTTCTAAATGTTTCTGCTTTTTACATTGTTAGGTTGCTGCCTTGTTGATGTGTAGACTTCATTTCCTGTTATTCATATTTGTATATTTGTAATAAAACTAAAATAGTTCTTCACATTCATAAAATTTATTTACCTGCTCCATCATTAACAAATCTAATATTAGGTGGTGTCAGGTCTACCAGTATGGGATTAGAAAATGACACACCCCTCAACCCTGCAGCATTAGTGGCTATAGCTGTCACATAAATATAGGTGTTGTGGACCAGTGTTACATTGTTGTTAAAGGCAAAGTTCATCAATCCCACACTTCTGAATGGTTGGATCTGTGTACCTCCCTCTGCATAACCTACAACATAAACAAAGTTATTCAGTCCCACACTTCTGAACAGTTGGATGTGTGTACCTCCCTCTGCATAACCTACAAAATAATCAAAGCATCATAGATGTTGTGATCCAGCCAATTTTGTAGCTAGTCTGACATTTTTTCTGACCACACTTTCAATATTTCTTTTGTAATTTTAATTTCCATAATCTCACTGTAAAATTTCTATTCTATTGCCCAAAGATGGAGAATTTTGAAATATTGGTGCAATTTATTTTGGTATTTCATTTGAAGGCACTGTCAGATTTGTTTACACATCTTTTTTTTAGAAACATTTGCAATTCAATGATTTTGACAAGAATATTAAGGGAAATCTTCAACAGCCTGTAGCATATTTTTTATATGCCATAAAAATATTAATTGGCTTAATTATTTCCAGAAAGAGGCATTGAAAATGCCCTTTCTCAACAACAACAAAATAACTAATTTTTATCTAAATTGGTGTTCATTCTTTATTAAGAAAAAAAATACATTTTCTGTATTCAAATATACATGCAAATACCTAATGCTGAAATAATTCCAATTGCTGATAAATAGCAATATAATGGGGAATATACAAATACATTTTATTGCAGAAAATGCTCAGGTAAGAGTTGTGCAATTGTGTTTATTGTTTCAACCAAATTACTGATAATTGTTACTTAAAAAGACCTTAATTATCAACTTATATCAGATGATTATGACACTGATTTTACAAGTGAAATAAAATCTGGTTGCATTTTTTATACATATTTTATTTTTAGTCTTTTCTTTGAAAAAAACCATATCTCATTAATCAGTCAGCTTTCACACAAAATTTGCAGAATAATTTATGTAGTGTTGATCAAAATAAATAATAGGTACACTATTCAGGTCAAGACTTTGTGTATTCAGTTAGATGTGTAATAAATTGAATACACAAATTCTTAACCTCAATACCAGTATGATTGTCAACTGTCATGATATCAACTGTGGTCAAATAAGACTGCATTAGAATGGAGTTGATTTCAATTAATACTTACACCTTTGAGCGTAATTGTTTGAAAATCATGACAGTTGATAATCATACTAGTAATGTACCAATACTCTTATTTGAAAGAATGGGAATAATAGCATTTCAAAAAAGTGTGGGAATCAACTTTAATATAAATACACATCTTGAACCAAATTCTATTCAATGGCTTACACAAACATAAGATACTCATAAAACATTTTCATAATTCTTATCAACTGCTTAAATTTGATAAATCACTTTTCCACATTAATTAATAAATGGCAATTTAATATAAATTTTGATTCATAAAGGAACTACATGCAAGTAAAATTGAGAATGGAAATGGGGAATATGCCAAAGAGACAACAACCCGACCAAAGAGCAGACAACAGCCGAAGGCCACCAATGGGTCGACGTCTCTATGCAGCGAGAAAATCCAGCACCCGGAGGTGGTCCTCAGCTGGCCCCTAACTAAAATTGTGTGCTAGTTCAGTGAAAATGGACGTCACACTAAACTCCGAAACATATAAATGAACTAAAATTAAGTGTATATCTAAAATAAAGAAGTTGTTCGCCCAACCTTTTCTTAATGTAAGGACTAATAACATATTAAAAGTTGGCAGTTAATGATTAAAATGGTGTATAAAGTTTCAGGAAGTCATAGAAACACATTATTATTTTCATGATATGTCTTCAACTTAGAATTCTGCACCATCTCCAAATCCAGAGTGATCACATAGATCCAGCATGGCTGAATCAAAAACAAAGTTAATCAGTCCCACACTTCTGAACGGTTGGACCTGTGTACCTCCCTCCATCATGAAATAGAAGTTCCTTCATAACATAAGATCCAAGTGGAAGAAATATACCGTAATATTATTTCCACTGGAACAAATATTCCAGTATTTGTTCCTTACGGAATAAAGAGTATAGAATATTTATTCCAACAGGAACAGATATTATGGTATTATTATCACAAAGTTTCTTTCACAAAGGAACTTCTGTTAGGTGGAACAAATATACGTTGACACCTCTGCATAACCTACGTTACATAAACAAAGTAAATCAGTTCAACAGTTTTAAATGGTTGGATCAGTGTACCTCCCTCTGCATAAGCCACAACATAACCAAAGTTTAAAAATGTATTTACCTATAGCCCATGTGTAATCTACTACTGTTGATTCCAGATCTGTGAAACTCCATGATCCATGGATAGAACTCCATTCATGTAAATAAACAACATGACCAAGCACATGGCCACTTGTAGCGCCAGTTGTTAAGTTAACTTCCTGTACAGAAAGATCATCTAAAAATATCCCTGTAGTCATGTCGATACTTCCGATTGTGATATTTGCATGGTCATTGGTGGCTTGGAAATAGAATGTGTGAGCATGCCAGGAGATTGTCTCACGACTGTTTCCCTGTCCATGTCCATCATGACGATACGGCTTTGTGTAGATCAGGAATATATGTTTTACATCATTAAGCTGTATAAACCCTTCTTTGTTTGCTCCAACAGAATCTGTTATTGGCAAATGGCTGGAGAAAAATGAGACTTTGTATAGATATCCTGCCCTCACTTGATCTAACTGCTGCTGAACATTTCCTCTTATGAACAAAAATGATCGACCATCTTTAGCTAAATTAACATCAGACGACACCACAGCCATACAAGTTATTGTCGAAGGAATCCATGACAATGGATGGTAACTATCCGAAACCATACAAATATCAGTAGAACTAACATTTTCAAACGTAATATCATCCCCACCAGTGATTTCAAATGATGTATTATTTCCAAGAATTTCTGAAGCATGAATGAACTTTTCTGGAATAGGAGGAGTTATGTCAATTATAACCCCATCAGAGACAACAATGGATGATCTTCTGCCGACACTATCAATAGCATACACTTTACTGTAAATTGTGATTCCTAAAATAGATATTATAACAACAAATAAATAAGATACTTCATAAATTATCTTTATATATATAAACAAGTCTAAATTGAAAAAAACGTTCAAACCTATGATTGCCTTATACGTGTGCATGCAAAACAAATTTCTTGGTAGAGTTGTCTATATACAGCACAAACAACATTTTCCAAAAGACCAAAAAAGTGAAAAAGTATATTTTAACAAAACGCATTTGACTAGCAGGTCGAACAACAGATGTTCTAAAATCTTTATATACATATATATACATATAATTCGTCTAATATATACATAGCTTATTCATAGTATATTCAGTAATTTTGTTTCAAAATGCCTACTTTAATTTTGTTCTGTTTTGAAAGAAGCCATTTCTAGATGTTTTGACTTAGCATTAACATTGACATGTTATATTAATCCACATTAACCTACCCTGTGATATCTCTATAGATAGATTCTTTGATACAGAAGTGTGAAGTCCAACGTTAGTCCATGGTAAAACACTACATTCTGTATTGGCGTAAATTCTGTGTACATGGGTTGTCTCCCCTACACACCAGTAGTATGACAGTATACTCGACTCTGTATCTATAAATCCATGCCAGTGAGCTGCCACATTGTCTGTGGAGTTCTGGTATTCTACGTCCAGTATTCCTGTATTATAGGTAAAATATTGGTAAGTATTATATTGAGATGTTCTTACTAGGTCACATCAGAGTGTGGTGTTACATCCATTTCTCAGGTTTATAGTTCATAAGAACCTAATTTCTTTTCAATCTAGATTTCATGAAATAACTAATGGGTCCATGACTTAAATGGACAGGTTGACCAGTAAGATTTCTCAAAATAAGTATAACTTAGAAAAACCCATCATTCCAGGGAATATCAGCTAAAACGGACAAAATTATCCCAAACATGAGTGCACATGAAATGTCTCGCCTACTACTGTAAATTCCGAAATTATTGCAAGGTTTTTATTAATGCGAATAATGCGACTACTTGAGTATCGCAATAATAAGAACTCTGATATAAAATACATATATCTGTAAGTAGCTTTTCCTAAAATCGCAATAATTAAACTCGCATATTTGTTAATTCTTCAAAAATTGCAATAATAAATGCACGCAATAATTTCTGAATTTACAGTATACTGACCATTGATTTTATGTTGATAGTCCTACATATAAAGTTTTACTACAAGTATCACATAAACCAAGCCGGAAATACATGTACACCTTTAATACAATCATTACATCTACAGAATATAGATGACCTATTGCTTATAGTATAAAAGAATCTGACCAAACCATGGAAATTCTATATTGACCAATGAACCAAGAAAATGAAGTCAAGGTCAGATGAACCCTGCCAGACAGACATGTACACCTTAAAATCATTCCATGCAACAAATATAGTTGACCTATTGCTTATAGTATCTAAGAAACAAAGTTAACCAGGAAAACTGAACATTGACCAATGAACTATGAAAAAGAGGTGAAGGTCAGATGATTCCTGCCAGACAGACATATACACCTTACAATCGTTCCATACACCAAATATAGTTGACCTATTGCTTAAAGTTTAAGAAAAACAGACCAAAACACAAAAACTTAACATATATAAGCAATGAACCATGAAAATGAGGTCAAGGTCAAATAAAACTTGCCAGGCTGACATGTACATGGTAAAATATTTCCATACACCAAATATTGTTGACCTTTTGCATACATTATTAGAAAAAACAGACCAAAACACAAAAACTTAACATTGAGCAATGAACCATGAAAATGAGGTCAAGGCCAAATAAAACCTGCCAGACTGACATGTACATCGTAAAATATTTCCATACACCAAATATAGTTGACCTACTGCATACAGTATTAGAAAAACAGACCAAAACACAAAAACTAAACTATAACCACTGAACCATGAAAATGAGGTCAAGGTCAGATGACACCTGCCAGATGGACATGTACACCTTACAATCTTTACAGACACCAAATATAGTAGACCTATTGCTTATAGTATCTGAGATATGGACTTGACAATGAAAACTTAACCTTCTTCACTGATCCATGAAATGAGGTTGAGGTCAAGTGAAAACTGTCTGACAGACATGAGGACCTTGCAAGGTACACGCATACCAAATATAGTTATCCTATTACTTATAATAAGAGAGAAATTAACATTACAAAAAATCTTAACTTTTTTTTCAAGTAGTCACTGAACCATGAAAATGAGGTGAAGGACAATGGAGATATGACAGACGGAAACTTCATATCATAAGGCATCTAAATACAAAGTATAAAGCATCCAGGTCTTCTACCTTCTGAAATATTAAGCTTTTAAGAAGTTAATTTACGCCGCCACCGCCGCCGGAACACTATCCCTATGTTGAGCTTTCTGCGAAAAAAGTCGCAGGCTCAACAAAAACTGGCAACCATCTTTGAGAATACTGCTAATATTGACAAGTTTCACCATATTGAATGCCTGCAAAATTATCAAAATCTGAACATACACAACTTCAAGAAAGTTTGTTTACTCTGGGTCTAAAACTGTAGGATCATTTGATGAAACAAAATTTATACATAAACAATGTCTGCTGATGGATCAACAAGATCAACAATGAATTGATCAGATGTAGATGTAGTGTGACCTTACCTTATCCATCATAAACAATATCAGCTGATGGATCAACATGATCCACAATGAATCGATCAGATGTAGACGTAGTGTGACCTTACCTTATCCATCATAAACAATATCAGCTGATGGATCAACTTGATCAACAATGAATCGATCAGATGTAGATGTAGTGTGACCTTACCTAATCCATCATAAACAATATCAGCTGATGGATCAACATGATCCACAATGAATTGATCAGATGTAAATGTAGTGTGACCTTACCTAATCCATCATAAACAATATCAGCTGATGGATCAACACGATCAACAATGAATCGATCAGATGTAGATGAAGTGTGACCTTACCTTATCCATCATAAATAATAAAATGATCCACAATAAATCAATCAGATGTAGATGTATTGTAAACTAACCTAATCCATCATAAACAATGCCAGACGATGGATCAACATGATCCACAATGAATCCATCAGATGTAGATGTAGTATGGACTCCAGCATAGTTATAAGCTATGACATTAGAGTAATATCTAACACCAGGTATCAGGTTGATTCTAGACATATTGTATCCTGTGGCTGTCCCTGGTATAACCTCTGGTATTGTCAGGATATCATAACCTATAAAGAATATGATCTCTAGATATATTCAACATATAGTTGTTATGTTATGTTATACTCTATAAGACACAGAAATATGTTCTTTTATTCTTACCCAATTTATCCTTTTCTTGACCTGTTGATTATTTTTATTAACCAACGTGTGGTTTGTTTGATCTCAATTCATCATTTATAAAAATTCGATTATGACATCAAATTTTCTTGGATTCCTCTGAATCTCCTATTGTGACGTCATAAAAAAAGGCGACCATGCCTGATGACGTCACAAAGAAAGTACACAACTTTTTGGAGCTCATTCAAAAAGAAGGATTAAGATTGTCTGTATATCACCAGACAAAAAGAAGAATTAAAATTGTCTGTATATCGCCAGACAAAAAGAAGGATTAAGATTGTCTGTATATCACCAGACAAAAAGAAGGATTAAGATTGTCTGTATATCACCAAACAAAAAGAAGGATTAAGATTGTCTGTATATCGCAAGACAAAAAGAAGGATTAAGATTGTCTGCATATCGCCAGAGAAACAGATTCTACCACTAAATCTCATGCAATACCATATTTCTCTACTCTCAACAGTTAAATCTTAAATATTTAAAAAAGATTGGCAAGCCATACGTTTTAAATTTGAAATTTTAGCTGTCTTAAGTGAATAAATATCATATCACATTTGTTGCAGTGGTAGAATCTACAACATATTAAAAGTGGTATTACTGTTAATGGCATATCATTCACCAGTCTTAGAGTGGGGGGCCCATATTTGCCAAGGATACATTTTTGCCGTTTTGCAATTTTATTGGGAAAAGTAGCATGCTATTTCCCGATGCTTGTCAAGATGGGAGGAGTGAGCTATTAGTTTGCTTGAATAGTTTTCATGTCAACAATTCATAAACACTTTATGTTTTGAAACATCAACATGGTAAGTTTTCAGACGTTAATGAGATCAAACTTGCCAAAACAAATGTATCAATGCTAAAAACAGTGACTTTTGCACTTGAAATAACTGGTTTCTAGACAAAGCAATATAGCATCATGAATGAAAAAGCTCCTTGTTAACCCTCAACATAGGATATTTCATAAATTTTGCCAGTATGAACAAAATATTTGGTAAAACAAAGGCAAAAACGTCAAACATTAACTACTGCGTTTACATAATTTGTTTAATGAACACAATTAAATATCTAGTAAAGAATCAATGGGCAGTGAGTATTACATAAGTTTTGATCTCTATTGTGCATTCATTGCTTCAGACAAATGCAGACATTTACATGTTGTTAAATATAACAAGGTTAATGAATATTTTCGAGTCATAGATTACGAAGAAAAAGTGTCCCCGATGGTTTGTGATGTACTTGATTTTTCTCAAGTTTGCGTTAATCTGTTGACCTAAAAACAAATGTCTTGGTGATCCTCCTTTATCAGACGTGCTGGTTTACTAGTGAACTTTTGGAAAATTGCTTAAGTAAAGTTTGAATGTAGATTGGCCGTGTGAAAATGAACAGTGAATATGGGCATTTCACTCTAGGTGCAACAAACTTCTTGAAATCGTCAGATTTTCATAACAAATAACATACATCATATTGCATTAAAGCATAAACCATATCAAAACATGTGACATGACTCCATGCTTACATTAGTACATTTAAGAGAGACATATAGCGCACAATATCAATAAATTTTAAAATAGTAACATGACCAGGGCTACCAACACTCCAAAACTATTTACCTTTCCTGAGCCCCATTAGGGTCAATGATATTACTCAATCAAGATTTTGTAAGCTTTATTTGACCTTTAAAGGTCATATTAACAATAAACTGACCTCCAGGAAATGAACTAAGATACAGTCTATATTTCTCTATTGTTGCCTCAGCATCCAGGAATTTATTTTTCCATGTGTAGGTTATAGGTCGTCCTATCCTCATGTAATCATCATCTTTAGCTGTTGTACCTTGCACTTTTTCTGTTACCTATGTAAACATATATATATATATATATGTGTAAATTCATCCCATTCTATACATTCATCCCTTCTTCACTGTAAATATGGACTTTTAACACAATAAAATGTATCATTATATAATAATTATGTTTGCGTTTTGATAATTGCATTCTCAGAATCAACTGAAAACTTAAAAAAAAAAGTTCAATATACATGTATTACTTTTAACTAACATGCCAATCAAGAAAATAGAAAATGATGAACACACTTAGAGCCTCCCTGTTAACATAATGTTTATATATATTTCTCTAATTCTTCGTCAGTTTATCCCTTTCTGCACCCATTGTATAAAAAAAATTTAATCAAAGTGTGGTTCGTTTGATCTCAGTTCTTCATTGGTTAAATTCCGATTATGACGTCGAATTTTCTTGCTTTCCTCTAAATTTCCTATTGTGACGGCATGAAAAAAGGCAACCATGCCTGATGACGTCACATAGAAAGAACACATCTTTTTGCAAATCATTCGAAAAAAGGAATAAGTTTGCCTGCATATTGTTAGAAAATCATTAGAGAAACAGATTCCACCACCAAATCTCATGTAATACAATATTTATCCACTCTCGACAGTTAAATTTTAAATATTTAAAACACTCGGCGAGCCTCGCATTTTAAATTTGAAAATTTAACTGTCTCGAGTGGATAAATATGGTATCACACTCGATGCAGTGGTAGAATCTATATGTATATATATTTGGAAAATATCTACTCTGCACTATCATCTCTTCTACTTACAGCTGTGCCTCTGACTGTTGCTAAAACAGGTGCTTGTGTCATCACATATATACCATTTGTCTTAAATACAGCATAGATGTTAGAGGAATACCAAACTTTCACATACACTGAATATACCAATGTATTCCTCAGTAAGTCTTTACCTGTGTAAATATAAACATAGCATAGATGTTAGAGGGAATACCAAACTTTAACATACACTGAATATACTAATGTATTCCTAAGTAAGTCTTTACCTGTTAATATAAACACAGCATCAATGTTAGAGGAATAGCAACTTTTAACTAACACAGAATATATAATCCGATACAAACTCAAAACCCTGGTTTAGTGACAACATATTCACAGGTGTCAAGTCTAACACATTTTCATGCTTATTTGGAGGCATTTTCCTATCATCTATTGTTTTTTTCTCTTTGATCTTTACAAATTTTGCCAAATCTCACGCATTTGCTTCATGAAAACTTGACAGCCCTGAGTTAGTCACAACAAATTCACAAGGGATATAAAATTAAAGTTCATTTAAGCTTTCTTATACAATAGGGACAGTGCGTACATACAAGACAATATGATTATTTTACCTTGACCAATAGTAAACACAGCATCCATTAACTGACCAGCGTCCTGCCACACTTTATCATCTACTGGGTCAAAGATACCTTCTGGTCCTAACTTGTCTGCATACCCTACACTCCATTCATACCTATTTAATATATATGTATAATGATAGTAAGGGTTAAAGAAGAAGAAGTAAAACATTGCTTACTATTGATTAAAATCCAAACACAAGATTGTCACCAAACAAATATGAGAAAATAATACAAAGCAAAATAAGAAATGACATATACAGGAATATGACAAGTATGTAACAACAATAATGTCTTCCAATAAAGTATTATAATTAAAGTTAGACCATGCACATAGAAGAGGGTGCTGTCACTCCTATGTATATATTCATATGTTATATCAGAAATAAGAAAAAAATCTATTATCAATATACATATTACACAATACATGTAAATACACAAATCTGGCACAAATATAAAGGTTGTTTCTATCGCTATACATCTCACTTATACCAATAACAATAATCTTCAATATGTCACATTCTTCAAAAGAAAACGGGGGTTATTTCATTTCATTTTGATCATTTTATTACTCATTGAATTAAAACAAAGACCAATATCAGAAATTCCGTTCAACATTTTGATTAATTATCTATGTTTAGACACATTATTACATAAATGTGGAATGTCTCCATGGGACACAGATGAGGCCCCGCTTGCATATCATAAAAAATTATAAACGGATATAACTGAAGAACGGTAAAAGTGACCCTACCCTAATTTGAACTTGATCTGAGTTTTGTGGTAATAAGTATTGTGTATAAGTTTCATAAAATTTGGTTGAGGCAAACTTAAGTTAGAGAACGGAAACAATAAACAGCTGCGCCATGAGCGCATGAAACGCCCGTTGTCTTGTGTGTGAATTTTTATGCAATAATCATAAATAGTTTCTGACATATGGCGCAACATGCGAAAACCCCCCTTTTTTTTACAAAAAACTCAATATCTCTAAAATAAAATTTTGAATCAAAACCAAAAAGTATACAGATCTTTAGATTTATATAACTAAGAAGTGTGTAAAATTTTAAGCAATAATCATAAATCGTTTTTGAGATACGGCGCGACATGTGAAAAACCCCTCCCCCCCCATTTTTTACAAAATACTCAATAACTCAAAAATAAAATTTTGAATCATCACCAAAAAGTATACAGATCTTGAGATTAATATAACTAAGAAGTGTGTAAAGTTTTAAGCAATAATCATAAATTGTTTTTGAGATATGGCGCGACATATGAAAAAAAAACACACACCTGTTTTAGTTACTAAGTCCCGTAACTCAAAAAATTTTAATCTTATTTTCACCAAAAAGTAAACAGATCCTTTGACCATCATAAGAAACAACTATGTTAAGTTTCATGAAATTTGGATAAGTCATTCCCAAGTTATGGTGCGACATGTTTACACCAGACAGACAGACGGACAGACGGCATTTGTATACCATAATACGTCCCGTCAAAATTTTGACGGGCGTTTAAAAATTCGTCAATTTTTCCATTTGTAAAGGGGCATAACTCTAGAATGGTTAAAGTGACACCACCATAATTCTAACTTGATCTGTATTTTGTGGTAATAAGCATTGTGTATAAGTTTCATAGCATTTGGTTGAGGCAAACTAAAGTTAGAGAACAGAAACAAAAAATTCAGCAATTTTTCCATTTGTAAAGGGGCATAACTCTAGAACAGTTAAAGTGACACCACCATAATTCAAACTTGATCTGTATTTTGTGGTAATAAGCATTGTGTATAAGTTTCATAGCATTTGGTTGATGCAAACTAAAGTTAGAGAACGGAAACAAAAAATTCAGCAATTTTTCCCTTTGTAAAGGGCATAACGTTAGAACGGTTAAAGTGACGCCACCAAAATGTAAACTTGATCTGTATTTTGTGGTAATAAGCATTGTGTATAAGTTTCATAGCATTTGGTTAAGGCAAACTAAAGAAAGAGAACAGAAACGAAAAATTCAGAAACTTTTTCATTTGTGAAGGGGCATAACTCTAGAACGGTTAAAGTGACGCCACCAAAATGTAAACTTGATCCGTATTTTGTGGTAATAAGCATTGTGTATAAGTTTCATAGCATTTGGTTAAGGCAAACTAAAGAAAGAGAACGGAAACCAACTTTGGGACGTAGGTACGGCGGGGGCATAAAAATGAAATTCATCTTCCATCTCCAAATTTAAATTGCATAACATACACATTCCATCTTTTTAGGCTGTTTTACTTTATTGACCATGTTCAATTGCTAACCTACCGTGTTTTCAACTTTTGTTTTTTACTTACCTATCAAACAAGTATCATGCAATTTTAGTTGCCCTAGAATGACTTTCACTTGTCCGTAGCAATTTGAGAACCTTTAATGTCATATGCTGGCTTTTTTTTAAAACTTTTACAGAAAAAGGTTAGGAACTGTTTATCTTTATAAAACAATTCCATGATTTAGCTATGGTTTATGTTGTTTTATAGGGGATGTTATAACATCCCATTTGGTGACGTTTACAAAAAATATGGAAAGGAGGATATCAGTTTGTCTAATTGTCACCTGCAACATATATATTCCATAACAATCAACGAAATCATAATGGCCTCCATAAAACTTTTAAAGACATTACTTGAACCTTATTACTATAAAGAACACTTGGTTTAACAGATAAAAGCTGTATAAGCAGCTACCTTCTATCAACGAAATCCTAAAATTGTATAGTTTGGAATAAAAACAGTTTGGAATAAACACACACTATATGCAAGTGCTGCTGGAATGTTTTTATGTAAAAAGGGAAAGTTCACAATGGGAAAATTAATTCAATCTCTTTTTCATTGAAGTTTAGTTCTAAACTGAACTTTGCATTGAATGTCAGTGTATTCATGATAAGACTCACCACTTAGGTTTATATGGATATATCTGTGAAATCTGCCATGTAGCTCTCAGAACATTGATAGATGCTGTCACGGCCTTGTCAAGAGTAGAGTAGCCATAAGAATACTATGATAAGACTCACCACTCAGGTTTAGATGGATATATCTGTGAGATCTGCCATGTAGCTCTCAGAACATTGTTAGATGCTGTCACAGCCTTGTCAAGAGTAGAGTAGCCATTAGTATCCTATGATAATACTCACCCCTTAGGTTTATATGGATATATCTGTGAAATCTGCCATGTAGCTCTCAGAACATTGATAGATGCTGTCACAGCCTAATCAAGAAGAGTAGCCATAAGTATACTATGATAAGACTTACCACTTAGGTTTTGATGGATATATCTGTGAGATCTGTCATGTACCTCTCAGAACATTGTTAGATGCTGTCACAGCCTTGTCAAGAGTAGAGTAGCCATTAGTATCCTATGATAATACTTACCATTTAGGTTTAGATGGAAATATCTGTGAAATCTTCCATGTAGCTCTCAGAACATTGTTAGATGCTGTCACGGCCATGTCAAGAGTAGAGTAGCCATAAGTATTCTATGATAAGACTTACCACTTAGGTTTAGATGGATATATCTGTGAAATCTGCCATGTAGCTCTCAGAACATTGTTAGATGCTGTCACAGCCTGGTCAACAGTGGAGTAGCCATTAGTATCCTTCACTAGAAATAATGTATACTGGGTACCAGAAAATACACCTACAAAATATACTGTAACTGGTAACCAGAAAGTACACTTTATAAAGAATAATATTACTGGTTACTATGAAATACATTGTACTACAAAAACATCTGTAAATTCAATACACAAATGTATTATAGGTACAAAAAAAAAAGTTTAAAAGAAGGAGCTATCTCAATGTATTTGAAGACAGCTGTGTTGAAATCTTATGAAGAAATATTTTGAATCAGTATTAAAATAATGAATGAATATGAATGGGGACTGCAGTGACTGATTTCAGATCAAAGATTCAATAGTAATATAACGGTTATCAACATCATCTTAAAACATAAAATAAACTAAATCTTTTGACATGCTGACAGAAAAGCTGAAATCAACAAACATCTTTGCATATTAGTATAATAACCCTGAACCATTCTATGCCCTTGATGCACACTTAAAGTGACTTTGACATAAACATCTCTGGTCCTGTGTAGACTTTCACATGACCTTGAAATAGTTTCTGTCTAAAACATCAATACCAAGTGATGGACAGTACAGACATCATTTGTTTTGTGAAATTCATACACATAATGACCTACACACAATATTAACATTCTTATTTGGGTTAGGGTTGAGTGCTAGCAAACATGTTTAATCCTGCCACATTCTATATGTGCCTGTCCAAAGTCAAGATTCTGTAATTCAGTGCATGGTTGTCATCAGTTGCCAACTGTCATTTTCGATTTTGTTTATTGTTTATCGTTTTGTCGTAAATCAGGCCTTTTGTTTTTTTGTTGAAATTTTGTCATGTCAAGGCCTTTTATAGGTATGGGTTTTACTCATTGTTGAAAGCCGTACGTTGGTTATGTAGTTGTCTATATACTATATTTTATATTACTGTCCGGTGCATCAGTACAGCTACCCTTATTTGGAGAAAAAAGAAATATTTGGTAATGTCAGGCACATACACAATGATCTTCACATGACCTTGACATACTTACTATCTGATACATCAGTACAGTTTCCCAAAGTTGGTGAATATGGACATCGTTGGTCCTGTGGAGCACAAACACAATGACCTTCACATGATAGAGCATCACATCTTCTCATCAAATCTAAAGAGCTTGGTGGAGTCTTTGTAAAGGCTGAATGGACCATATGACTTCTCAAACCAACCTAAATTGAATCTATACAATAAATTTCAACACATGCATGTCACATTACAAAAGAAAATAGTAAAATACATAAATGAAAACAAGTATCTAAAATTTTTCACAAATGCTGTTTAAAACATTTTACTGAGAGAAAGTCTATAAAATGAATGACATAAGAAATTTTCCAATACATGACTGGTATCACTATTTGAGCACACACTAATGACCCTCCACCACTAGTTCTCGTCTGGGATCTTGTTGCTTAATCTTATGTTTTCTGTGTTAAGTGGACTGTTAATTATCTTTTTGTCAATGGTGTTATTCTTTGACTTCTTGTTATTGATATCCTCCTTGGCTTGGCAACATTTCCCCCTTTTAAAAGGCTTTCCAAAAAAACCTTGTTTTGTTCTTAGAGAAATACAATTTTGGCTGTCTATACTTAACTCTGGTTTTATTTTTACAAACCTTATTTACTGCCCACACAGTGATAAACAACTCATCATAATTAGTCAGTGTTTGTGTCTCCACTTTGTACAGTTGAACTTTGCCCTCATCACCATGGTCAGTGTTGGTATCAACATGAATGTACTTAGCAGTGTGATCCTAATTAAGTATAATCTTGGTTTATTGATGATGAAAATGAAAATTTAAATATAGATCATAAATATAAAAAAAAGAGATGTGGTATGATTGCCAATGAGACAATTATCCACCAGAGTTTAAAATTAAGTGGATGTTAGCAATTATAGGCCACTGTACCGCCTTCAGCAATGAGAATAACACATACCATAAAGTCGGCTATAAAAGGCCCCAACATGAAAAATGTGAAACAATTCAAACGAGAAAACTAACGGCCTAATTTAAGTTATTCAAGTCCACTTATTTTGTTTGTTGGTAAGTCCTTTTCATTTGTTAGCACAACATAAAATGAATGGACATCTGGCAAAAGATTAATGACCAACCAACATCATATATCTCTTAAATATCACTTTATTCTTAATCAATCATTGACTTGAAAATGTAAAAAAATAACTTCAATACATCGTTCAGCTTACAGATCCAGATTTCATAAAAATGCACAATTTCTTTAATTTTCAATAAAATTATCTTGACAAATATTGTTACGTACATACACAAATTTTGTATATCTATTAAGTATATATCATTGACAAATTGCTTGATATCGACATTGAAAAGATCTAAAGAATGGCCACTTCAATGTACTCATTTATTTGTGGTTTCAAAGGTAGAGATGAAACCTGGACAATATAGCTATCAAGATAGAGGAGAAAATAGGGTTTGGACTGCATTTCATGCAATTTTTACCCCAAAAAATATTTCAACTCTGTTCTTACATCAAAAAAAATCTGACAAAAACTAAAAAATCAAAGTGTCTTCATTTTGAAAAATTTTTCAGCCTTGGCCAAATAATTTGCAATGCATAAAAACTTTTCATTGATTAACTTATTATTTATCTTCAGTGGAAGTTTCTATTATCCTATCCATACAAGATCGTCTACTTCCACTCACCTTAGTCAAATCTTTAGCCATGTATGATGACCCTATAGTGACCATATAATTATCTATCTGTGAATGGATATCACTGAATCCTAGCCATACCAGGTACCCCCTACAACCCTATCCTTCCTCTCACCTTAGCCAAATCTTTAGCCATGTATGATGACCCTATAGTGACCATATAATTATATTACTGTGAATGGTTATCACTGAATCCTAGCCATGCCAGGTACCCCCTACAACCCTATCCTTCCTCTCACCTTAGTCAAATCTTTAGCCATGTATGATGACCCTACAGTGACCATGTAATGATCTATCTGTGAATGGATATCACTGAATCCTAGCCATGCCAGGTAAACAGCATTGGTTCCCCAGGTCATCCATCCTTTTTCATTTCTGGTTAAGTCTGGATTAACTGCATGGTCAGTAGCCACAGCAAATGTTCCTGAAAAAGCAAAATGTAGTTTAAGTCATTGTTCATAAATTAATAAATACTCTCCCTTTTCTATTAACTGATATATACATATGGAGATTCCGTATATCGTCAAGTTAACGGAATTCCAATGGGGACTAACTGTGCACCACTTATTGCGGACTTGTTTTCCTGTATTGTTATGAATTACAATTTATGACTAAAATTAGCAAAGACCCATCGAAACAACATCTGATACAAAAATTAAATAACACTTTTAGATATTTGGATGATATATTAGCTCTCAATTATGACGACTTCAGTATGTACACTAAAGAGATTTATCCTGCTGAACTGACTTTAAATAAGCTAATACTAACAATGAACACTGCACTTTCCTGGATCTTGATATCTGTATCTTTAAAGGGAAGCTTAATACCAAAATTTATGATAAAAGAGATGATTTTTCATTTCCTATTGTTAATTATCCTTTTATAGATGGTGACGTTCCCTTGTCACCATCTTATGGTGTTTATATATCTCAACTTGTTCGATTCGCTCGTGTATGTAACAACGTATTTGATTTTAATGAAAGAAATCTCTGTATTACTGAAAAATTATTACACCAGGGTTTTTGATATAACAAACTAGTCAAAACATTTACTAAATTTTATCATCGGTACAAGGACACCATTCGTAAATATAAATCAACATGCAGACATCTTATACGTTCTGGTATTTCACATCCAATCTTTTATGGTAATATTCTTTACAAAGCACAAAATTTGTCATCATTCACCTCAAAAGCTAACCAAACCTTTAAACAGACTTATTCAGAAGAGATATAATTACGATACTGTTGTCAGTTCATTGAAGATGGCATATTTTGGTATTAATATTGATTCACTCATAGGGTCTTTGCATCAGAAATAAACACATTTATTCTAAAACCAGTTGTTGGCATGATACGGGTTATGATCTTCTCATATATTGTATGATGATATGATACTAAACCCCTAATGTTAATTTATGTATCATTGTCATTTTGCTAAATTTCTTTTGTTACCTATTCTGACATTGCTCTCGGACTTCTTTTAAACTGAGTTTTACTGTGCCTATTGCTGTGTGTTTGTTTATTCTACATTGGCTAGTGGTATAGGGGGAGGGTTGAGATCTCACAAAACATGTTTAACCCCGCCACATTTTTGTGCCTGTCCCAAGTCAGGAGCCCCTGGTCTTTGTTAGTCTTGTATGTTTTTTAATTTTAGTTCATCTATATGTTTTGGAGTTTAGTATGACATCCATTTTCACTGAACTAGTACACATTTTTATTTAGGGGCCAGCTGAAGCCCACCTCTGGGTGCAGGATTTTCTCGCTGTGTTGAAGACCCATTGGTGGCCTTCAGCTGTTTTCTGCTCTTTGGTCAGGTTGTTGTCTCTTTGACATATTCCCCATTTCCATTCTCAATTTTATACATATACCTAAAATTAAGGGAAAAAGTAGCCAATGAAGGAGGGTTGAAATTATGTGTCACATTATTTTGTGACTAGTAAATGTATATATAAGTATATATATTTTCAATTTAGACTTGTGTATATATATATATTTACACCTCTATTTAAATAAAAAAATAAATGGAAAATGTGTCCATCGGACACTGATGATGCCCCTGCTTGCATATAATATTATAAAGGGACATAAATAGAGAACTGTAAAAGTGATACTACCCAAATTCGAAATTGATCAGAATTTTGTGGTAATAAGCATTGTGAATTGAGGCAAACTGAAGTTAAGAGAAAAGAAACGAAAAATTCAGCAATTTTTCCATATATAAAAGGACATAACTCAAGAACAGTATAAGTGACATCACCCAAATTCAACCTTGATCTGAGTTTTGTGGTAATAAGCACTGTGTATAAGTTTCATACCATTTGGTTGAGACAAATTTAGATAATGGAAACGAAAAATTCAGCAATTTTTCCATATATAAAAGGACATAACACTAGAACAGTAAAAGTGATACAACCCAAATTCAACCTTGATCAGTGTTTTGTGGTAATAAGCATTGTATCAGTTTCATAACATTTGGTTGAGGCATACTAAATGTGTTGTAATTCATTGTACATATTTCAGCAAGTTTACAGTGCAACCTCCATGTCTACTAATAAAAACGTTTTCTGTGATGTAGCCATTGCACATATTTCAACAATGTTACAGTGCAACCCTTATGTCGACTATTACACATTTTTCTATGGTGAGCTACATCAACCCTTATGTCCACTATTACACATTTTTCTATGGTGAGCTACATCAACCCTTATGTCCACTATTACACATTTTTCTATGGTGAGCTACAGCATATCAACCCTTATGTCCACTATTACACATTTTTCTATGGTGAGCTACAGCATATCAACCCTTATGTCCACTATTACACATTCTTCTATGGTGAGCTACATCAACCCTTATGTCCACTATTACACATTTTTCTATGGTGAGCTACAGCATTTCAACCCTTATGTCCACTATTACACATTTTTCTATGGTGAGCTACATCAAACCTTATGTCCACTATTACACATTTTTCTATGGTGAGCTACATCAACCCTTATGTCCACTATTACACATTTTTCTATGGTGAGCTACATCAACCCTTATGTCCACTATTACACATTTTTCTATGGTGAGCTACATCAACCCTTATGTCCACTATTACACATTTTTCTATGGTGAGCTACATCAACCCTTATGTCCACTATTACACATTTTTCTATGGTGAGCTACATCAACCCTTATGTCCACTATTACACATTTTTCTATGGTGAGCTACAGCATTTCAACCCTTATGTCCACTATTACACATTTTTCTATGGTGAGCTACATCAAACCTTATGTCCACTATTACACATTTTTCTATGGTGAGCTACATCAACCCTTATGTCCACTATTACACATTTTTCTATGGTGAGCTACATCAACCCTTATGTCCACTATTACACATTTTTCTATGGTGAGCTACATCAACCCTTATGTCCACTATTACACATTTTTCTATGGTGAGCTACATCAACCCTTATGTCCACTATTACACATTTTTCTATGGTGAGCTACATCAACCCTTATGTCCACTATTACACATTTTTCTATGGTGAGCTACAGCATATCAACCCTTATGTCCACTATTACACATTTTTCTATGGTGAGCTACATCAACCCTTATGTCCACTATTACACATATTTCTATGGTGAGCTACATCAACCCTTATGTCCACTATTACACATTTTTCTATGGTGAGCTACATCAACCCTTATGTCCACTATTACACATTTTTCTATGGTGAGCTACATCAACCCTTATGTCCACTATTACACATATTTCTATGGTGAGCTACATCAACCCTTATGTCCACTATTACACATATTTCTATGGTGAGCTACAACATATCAACCCTTATGTCCACTATTACACATTTTTCTATGGTGAGTTACATCAACCCTTATGTCCACTATTACACATTTTTCTATGGTGAGCTACAGCAACCCTTATGTCCACTATTACACATTTTTCTATGGTGAGCTACATCAACCCTTATGTCCACTATTACACATATTTCTATGGTGAGCTACAGCATATCAACCCTTATATCCACTATTACAAATTTTTCTATGGTGAGCTACATCAACCCTTATGTCCACTATTACACATATTTCTATGGTGAGCTACATCAACCCTTATGTCCACTTTTACACATTTTTCTATGGTGAGCTACAGCATATCAACCCTTATGTCCACTATTACACATTTTTCTATGGTGAGCTACATAAACCCTTATGTCCACTATTACACATATTTCTATGGTGAGCTACATCAACCCTTATGTCCACTATTACAAATTTTTCTATGGTGAGCTACAGCATATCAACCCTTATGTCCACTATTACACATTTTTCTATGGTGAGCTACATCAACCCTTATGTCCACTATTACACATATTTCTATGGTGAGCTACATCAACCCTTATGTCCACTATTACACATATTTCTATGGTGAGCTACAGCATATCAACAATTATGTCCACTATTACACATTTTTCTATGGTGAGCTACATCAACCCTTATGTCCACTATTACACATTTTTCTATGGTGAGCTACATCAACCCTTATGTCCACTATTACACATTTTTCTATGGTGAGCTACATCAACCCTTATGTCCACTATTACACATTTTTCTATGGTGAGCTACATCAACCCTTATGTCCGCTATTACACATTTTTCTATGGTGAGCTACATCAACCCTTATGTCCACTATTACACATTTTTCTATGGTGAGCTACATCAACCCTTATGTCCACTATTACACATATTTCTATGGTGAGCTACAGCATATCAACCCTTATGTCCACTATAACACACTTTTCTATGGTGAGCTACATCAACCCTTATGTCCACTATTACACATATTTCTATGGTGAGCTACATCAACCCTTATGTCCACTATAACACATATTTCTATGGTGAGCTACAGCATATCAACCCTTATGTCCACTATTACACATTTTTCTATGGTGACATCAACCCTTATGTCCACTATTACACATTTTTCTATGGTGAGCTACATCAACCCTTATGTCCACTATTACACATTTTTCTATGGTGAGCTACATCAACCCTTATGTCCACTATTACACATATTTCTATGGTGAGCTACAGCATATCAACCCTTATGTCCACTATTACACATTTTTCTATGGTGAGCTACATCAACCCTTATGTCCACTATTACACATATTTCTATGGTGAGCTACATCAACCCTTATGTCCACTATTACACATTTTTCTATGGTGAGCTACAGCATATCAACCCTTATGTCCACTATTACACATTTTTCTATGGTGAGCTACAGCATATCAACCCTTATGTCCACTATTACACATTTTTCTATGGTGACATCAACCCTTATGTCCACTATTACACATATTTCTATGGTGAGCTACATCAACCCTTATGTCCACTATTACACATTTTTCT